GGTTTTTCGACACGGCGTAACCGTTTTCATTGGGCAGACGATTTGGGCGCGCCAGGAGGCTAACGTATGCAAAGGCTCAACGTCTATCGAACCGCGGCCGTGTGGAGCAAGTGTCCGTTAAACGCCGGCAGAACTGCTGTTTACTACAACGCGACATCGTTGTAAAACCGAGCACGGACCCAGAAGACGAGGGCTAAACGACATCTATCGTTTTCCATCTTTTTCCAGCCAGCTGAGATGTGCGGATCCTAGGGTAACTTAAGCGCCTGAGCCTTAGTTACGCGTGACGGTTGGCAGGATGGGCGTGCTTCACAACGCATGCGAACCGAGTATACACACTGACCAAGTTTTGCAGTATGCGAACAAAATCCAACGGGGTATCTACGGGGTATCAGCGAAGGAGAACCATTACAGCGTGTCTGTGGGTGTGGTGAGTGGAGAGCAGCAGGAAAGACGCGGTATACGACGTACATAGTGTAAGGGAAAGACGACACAGAGGAGAACTGTCTACAACTCAACCCAGTTCGCGATCCGCGTGCTCGTGTCGTTCCACCGCCAGCTCATAACGAGTCGCTGTATCGACGCTGCGACACCTACTTCAGGGTTTTCCTGCCCAAGAAGATAGTACTTCGCACGCCCGGCGACGAACGTGAGGTGGTAGGGGAAATAGAGGCAGAAGCCGGTCATGAAGAGCACGAGGAACGAGTTGAAGAGAGTCACTGTGCCGCGTGAGGAGGTTTATCCGAGGGTGAAACGCGAGACACATACTAAGTAACACCTTCTCCCAAGGCTGAAGCATCGTCAGCGCGAAGGTCGACTCGAACCACAGCCGCTTCCGCCAGATGTACGCGCCGAGTGACGATTTTGGTGGTCGGTAAGGAAGCGCGAGACCAAAGAGGACATCTGCTGTTGTCGGCACACGCTTCCATGCTGGGAGCGAATACTCTGACGTCTCTGGCGTGCAGGCACGGTTCAACATGGTTGCGCAGAGAAGAGTGAAAGGGATGCTGCGGCAAGGGTCGTGAGGGTGAGAGGATTTGCGTCTTGATGCTGTACTACCACGCGTTCTGCTGTGTTGATGTACCGTTCAAAACTCGAATGTGGACTGCTTGCGCGGTCACCGTCGGGCTCGGCGTTGTGGCTTGAGCCAAGTGTAGGTGGGTCGTAGCAAGCTCACAGGGGACCGGTCGGGCTGAATGCTTTAAGGTGTGCGAGGAGAAACGGGGTAGCTCTTGGCGGCGTGGCGGCTGCTCCGCAAAAAGTAATGCCGTCCGCAGCATGTAAAGTACTCGGAGTTTGAAATTCCTACGGGCGCTAGCGATACCTCACGGGACGGGTGCGGTTAGGCCGACTGCTTGGGCAGCCTCAATATTCGTTTGCAGTGCGAGTCAACATATGTACTAGATTGTGAAGCTGGGATCTGTTGGCCGGGCTGCTTGTGGTTCTCATGATACTCAGGAGGTCTCGGAGTTCATCCAGAACTGCCGGAGGCTCGGAGGACTTGATGTTTCGTGTGGTCTGCCAGTGAAAAGTGGGTAGGGCTACCGTTCGAAATACGTTGCCGCCACAGAGGCATGCGTACAAGTAGGCGCACCTCAGCAAGCATCAGCCATGTGCATGAGTAGCAAAGCTAGCAAAGGCTCGTACCACCTCATAGAATCGATGCTCAACCATGCCGTCTGCCCCGCCCTCACTCTCACTGGCGCCCGCGAAGTTTTCGAACTCCGAGCGCTGAAAACTAGCTGGGGAGTGTCTATCGTTCTGGAAACAGCTGTACAGCTTACGTCGCTGAACAGCTCTCTTCGTCGCCAGTTGCTCAGTGGAACAAGTGCTTTCGCAAGCTAGCATTGTGCTCGCAAGTCCAGTAAGTGGCTTATCATTAACGTCATCGTCATCGGCGCATCATAGTTGTCTAGTGGAAATAAGAAACTGATTCATTATATCTCCCTGTCGACTTACCTCCTAAAAGAAGAGGCTTGCAGGCCACGCCTTAAGTATCTGCTGAGAACCGGAGTAGTGGACCCAAGCCCCCGACTCGGGGCCAAACCCATGATGTCAGGCACAGCAGTGATTGGCTCCTGCACCGGTCGGTCTGGAGAATGGACTGATGGCCAGGGCAAGTGCGGAGCCAGAGGGTCGGCGCGAGGCCAGAGGGAAAGGCAAGACAAAAAAAAAATCAGAATATAAAAATTAAATATAACACACATACCCATCCATGCTTTTTACTTGCGAATGAGTCGGCTTACACAGAGAGCCTGAGAGTGCACGCCGGCAATGGCCCTGGAGCGCGCGCACTTCCTCTGAAGCGCACGATTCTGCCCTTACTACACCGTTGCTTTGCCCGACCTGGGCTTTTTGGACTGTGCATCGACATTAAAGTGGCAAATGGTGGCACATAGTATGGTTAACGCTATTTTATATGAACTGAAGTGGGGCCTTAGCCGCTGTTCAAGGTCCAGGTTATGTAATAACCATTCCCGCACCGGTAGGCGGGTCAGTGTCGAGATCCAGGGACACTCGATGCCTTCGGCGAACACGTAAGCATGCACATTTTAGCTACTATATAATGTCACTCACATAGGTACAGTACTACGCACAAAAGACGATGAAGACGATGAAGATGAGGATCCTCTCTTGGAGCTTGTTGACGATGACTGTGGGCTGTTCGCTCCTTTGGATGCCGCCGTTGACAGTGACAAGACACCGCCTCCGCTAGAGCCTGCCGTTGAAGGATCGTCCGATTTTTGTGATGTTCATAGATCCTATGAGCATGTTGACCGCGAAGAATCTACAGATTGATCTGCGCAAATGATAGATATTATCCATTACCTGCCCACATGTTATTTTGTACGCCATAGGATTAGAACTCAAATCTGTTCTGCACCTCTTGTGTTTATTGACTCCTTTGCGCACCTGCCTCGAGCAGCGCAACGACGCAAAGCTCGCTTCCATTGAGCGCCGCGACATGCAGGGGCGACCGGCCGCTCGCGGGGTCGATGCAGTTTGCCATGCCGCCGACAACAGTGGCGCTTCCCCTGGCTGAGAGCACACCGCGGCGAGATGTATGAGCAGCGGAGGGCGCGCAACTTCCGTCGACACTGCCTCCGCTGCGATCCAGCTCGCCGCCGTGGGGTCGCGCGCGCGGCCCCCGAGCACAGGTGTCGCGGACGACGAGACGGCGGGCAACCGTGTGCTGCTCTGGTGCGCGACGTGCACGAGCACGCTCTAGATGCCCTCGAGCGAGTCCTCGATCCCTGTGTGCCCATGTTCGGAGGGGTGTGCCCATAAGCGCGCGCACTCGCTTGATAGAGATATCGGGCTTGCCGAGCAGGCATTCGAGCTTGGCCAGTGTGCACTAGTACTGTGGACAATCGTAAGTGCTCACATACGTAGAAGGCCCGTTTGTATAAGGATAGCGCCAGATTAAAGATTTGGGCTCCGCCATAGCAAATGCTGTTTACTATTACTTTACAGCGGTATGATCACATAGAAGCGGAGTTGAGCTATTTGTTACAATAGTAAGTATTAGTACAACGTGTGTTACAGCGGAGTTTAAGTCTCTAATCCACCGCTATTGTTATGCAAACGAACCAGGAGACGGCGGGAAACCCACTGCATTGCTCCGATATTGCTCTGCTACAGCCTCCCGCTCTGCAGTATAGCGCTCACCCTGCTGTGTATATATCTGGCTTACACCGGGTGTCTCAACCTAGGCCTCATCATCAATGACATACACGTATTTCAAGCGACAGTCAGCAGCCTAGCCGACACGACCATGAGCCCTCCTTTCATGGATTTCCCGGACCCGTTCAGCACTCCTTCACGCTCTGTTGCCCACTAATGTCCAGGCAGGACGTCTTCATCATTGGCTGGTCCGGGATGCGAATGCAAACAATAGGTGGCTGAGTGCAGTGTCGTCGCATCGCAGTTGAGCACGCTTGTACTTCTCACCAAAGGCGACCAGTGCTCTTATACGTGTTAGCCGCGCCAGACGGTCTGGTCGTAAACGTCTGGGTCTTCCTTCACTGAGCCGTAGGGGATACCTTCATCATAGTACGCCCTCTCTTCGCATGCTTACTTGTGTTCATCTCCGCATGCCAGACACGGATCTGTTCGTACATCCTGTCGTCTGTACCACGTATTCCACCGGCGGCTGCAACATGCAGGTTAATCATTACAGTACGCGCGACACGCAAACCTATCCGCACACCCTCCCAGCTGTCAAGCGGAGCTATTGCAACCGAGGTCACGTCTACCCATGCGGCGATCGAGAACACGAACCGAGACAGAGACGTCGAGTGATCTCGCGCGGAGGGAGTAGGCGCATGCTTCCGCTTCGCTAATATCATCCATCCCGATCTTGATACTGCAGGTCAGCATGCGCCTCAGTGCGGGCCATAAATGTTGAGATCCTTACTTGGAACTTCATAATAACAGGCTGTGAGACTGGGAACAGCTTGCCTCTACACATCCTCGCTCCCTCGACCATCACCAATGGCGGCAGTACGGATGTTGTACGATTACCCACGTGCCACAGGCTTGTAATGCAATACACATATTGTCCGTCACACCAGGCCGTCGCTAGCAAATAGTCGTTAACACCAGTTTAGCTGGTCTCCAGATTTTTCTGGGCAAGGCACTGATGTCGACGCCTGCGTCCACATCCATGACTTGGCGAACGCGCGCGCAACGTGCGCCACTAGGTCTCGGTCGCCGTTACTAGGTCCAAGCAAGCGAAAACTCAGCGATAGATGGTCCTCGTAAGTTCTTATATTGTACAAGTACATTCGACGGTCTCGATACCCCTACATTGTGCGCATAACAGGCCAGTCACTTCCTACAGGGGCAAGTTGCAATTCTCTGCCAAAAGACGAGCCATCCTCTCTGGTTCGTTCCAGTTAACCTACACATGGATCAGCAACTTGGCTCCACTGAGTAAAGGGGACTCACGAAGTGATTCGCGCCCTTCAGCTTCAGGAAGGCGGTCTTTCGCTTCCTCTTACCTGGGTCGGCCGCCTCGCTAGCTAAGTCTTGGAACACCTTGGCTCCCCAGACACCAGTCCATGGACCCTGGGCGCAGTGGATAAAGAGGATGTCGACCTCGGGCAAGACTGCATCAGTGTCAGAGAATGTGCGGTGTGCATGTGCGCGGTGGATCGCCTCGCTCGTGATCATAATCAAACCGAGTCCACGTCCACCGAACTCAGGTTCGACAATGCGTTTGTAATCTTCAGGAGACAGGCTGCGGAGCGTCGACGTGCCCGGAAGGATGGCATTATGCTCGCGCAGCGATTCGGGCGTGATGGGGACTCCTTCTGGCAGAGGAGAGAAGGAAGAAGACACCCAGGTGATGAATGCATCTGGGATCCCCTCGGGTGGGATTGTGGGATCGGCGAAAGGCCAAGGGATGCCCAGGTTGGGTGTCTCGCCAAATACAACCGACGGAGCGTCTGTAAAGAAAGAGCGGAGCGCTGAGCGTTCGGCTACGTGCACGTAGGAACTCTGATGCGCACCGTAAATGACAACCTTGCGCAGGTAAGGGGCCAGCGCAGCCGTCAGGTCGCTTCCCATTGTCTGAGGATCTCCCAACATAGCCGTAGCTGCAACGCCACAGGCAGACCACGCGACTACCACCAGCCCGCCCTGTTTCTTGGCTCCCTCGCCTGAGACGGCAGGAATGTCCAATGTCTTACAGATATATGCGAGAAACTGGGCAAACTCTAAACCCCATCTGCGCACCGCATGCGCTTGGACCTCAACGTCGGGGCTCGTTATTTGCGCCAGCTCTTCTTTCGTGTACGGCGTCGAACCAGGGTAGTCGCGCTCGTTGAACGCGATCATGCGCATACCGTATTTGGAGGCGTACGGTCCCATGCGATCCCACATATCTGCATACGTAGCAGATTTATGGAGTGTCAGAAATCTCCCGTTAAGCTCGACTATCGTACGCACTCAAGTTGACTATTGCCCCGTGCATGCAAACGAGAGTGGGGTATGTCGAGGAGCCATCTGGCGCGCCAGTATCCTGGTAGCAGATGGAGGTTCCCTTGTCGTCGATCTGTGCGAAGGGCATGTTCCGAAGGCGATGTGGAAGGCTCGTTGCTTTGCTCTGCCCCCTTATATAAAGAGCCCATGCGTGGCGTTTGAACCACTTCGAAGTGTTTTAGAGTCCTACATGAAACTGTCTGCCATCCAAAATTGAAAGCAAAATGAGCAGTCGGCACGTCGCGGATACCAGCGCGAGTTTGAACGAATGTTGTATCTCGCACTGCCGGCTGCGTGCCATATCAATCGATATCTGTGGATATCTTGAAGACTTCCCATGCATGACAGGCATTCGTCAATATCTAACCTCCGGGAAGGTACAGTACTGCTCAGTCGCTGTCTCAGTCCGTCCGTCCGATATCGGCGTTAGGCAAGTCTGGAAGGGATGTCTTTGAAGCTGTCTTTGAGCGGGCTTTACGTGCTGAGGTGCCTATCGTGTCATCGCACGCATGGCGAAGTTTTGTCTGAGTTGCAAATAGAGAAATCCCGATGACGCCCGGACATATGAAAGGTGGTCTTGCCCGACCGAATCTGGTCTCCACGATGGTACACTCTGTATACCCCCATTGGCTGGTAGTTATATTGATCGTTATACATATGATTGCTATACTAATGCTTTCGAGAAATTGCATCCAGTCCGTTTTCGCCGTGTTTCTATGTTTCAGCGACGAGACTGTTTCGCCCTGTTTCGCCAGGTGCGAATGAGCGGGGGTATTCGGCGGACACGCTCTCTCTTCCATGAGGTAATGATTCCGATTGAATAATCTGCTTTCAATTGTCTTGGGACGGCTGATTGGCTGTGCAAGCCTAAAGATCTGGATTCCCACAGATTACGGGCGACCGGTTCGGTCCGGTTGAGTGCTGTGGGTAACACCCTGGCTCAAAGACTACCGATGCGTACACCCAAACGCTTAAGCCAATCAGGCTGTATGAGGTCCTTCCTGTACTCCAGCACGCCGCACGTAGGAAGAAATTCGGCTCGCGAGAAGGGGTCTCACGCAAGCTAGAATGTTGTAGAGACGCTTCCCCTTGAGATTAAGACAGTGCGCCCGGTATCAGCCGGCGTCTGCTTCACAAGGACTGAATGTTATTCCTAGACCTTCACACATGGAAAGTCGTATATGGACGTGCCTTTGCCCTGGCGTAATGGTTGCCTGTCGTGCGGGCGCAGTAATCGAGATCGTCTGTGGCACTTCGGATGCTCATTGAGGCGAACGTCTCCGGGATTGCTCAGCTGAAGAGGGTTTTTCTCAAGGGTTTCTGTATATGATGCGTGCGGTCCTGGTTACTTGGTTGCTTGGAACTCCAACTCGCTACCAGGTTGCCGCCATGTTGTCCCTCAGCCGAGCCGGGATCCTCTCAACAGTTCTAGAGGCCATCTTGTATGGTAGGCTCGGTTGCTGTGCGACTGATTTGCCCTCGTGCTAAAAACTATTCAGGCTTCTCCGTTCTTATGTACATATTTACCATGTGGATTATGCTGCAGAATCGGAAGCGGAGACGCCTGAACAAGAGCATGTTGATTGCCTCCTGCGCAATTTTCCTGCTGTCAACAGCAGTTAAGCAGCCTGTTTTGCACGCATATTGCACCGCTGCTGATGGCACTGCGCCTTGCAGGAAATGGCCGTCAATATCGAGCGACTGCAACAAGGCTTCTTGACCATTGGACCCAACTTACCTGGCGGGCCAGAACAGTATTTTGCAAACTTCGCACAGCGCACATTCCTTATAAAAAGCGTGTTATTCAACTGCCAAACACTCATTCTTGACTTTGCTGTGGTAAAAATTTTGATTAAGTCCCCGTGCTAAGAGAGGTTGATGGTACGCCTTCTTCAGATCTACCGCGCTTACACCGTATGGCAAAATGTCTACATTATTATCTTGCCCGCACTTGGCTGGTGTGGTCTGTTCGGTAGGGGAGACGACTAAGTTTGCATCAAGCATGTCTCTGACATCTGCTCAGCCGCCTCCTTCGGTACGAACTTCGTCCTAGGCACGGCTTCGGCAAATGGGGCAATCTTCAACCAAGAGGTTGGGGTCTGGATTACCGCCAACTACTCTATGACCCTTGCCACGAACGTGATAGCAACAAGTGCGTCTAACTGTTCCAAACGGGCAGCATAGCACAAATTGACGCATATAGGCTTGCTCGCGTACCGCATCTGGATGGTGAAGAGGGAGACCAGCCGCTTCTTGGTTTCGCATGCCCTGTCGCCACTCCTGCGAGTCGTCATCGAGTCCGGAGCCATCTATTCGCTGACCGTCACCGCGGCACTCATCACCTTCGTCACGAAGTCTAACGGCGTGTACGTTATGCTCGACATGGTATGCCCCCTCCATGTGTATGTTTTCCAATAACCGGCCTGACAGAAGGCAGATTTCACCCATTATCTCCATCGTCTTCAATATGATTATCGTCCGCGTCGGGCTCGCGCGTGAGCAGGGGCTGTCAGCGCAGTCCGGCGAGCAGAGTGGCAGCCACCGTGTCCCTGGTAGCTCGTTTGGCTTCCGGCCGTCACGCCCGCAGTACGGCCAAACATCACTTGCGGTCGAAATAACGCAATTTATCGAGACAGACGGAGATGTCACAGAGGACACGCTACCCATTGAGCTCAAAGCAAAGCAGGATTCGTATGTGGCGGAGGACGTCAAGGGTTGAGATATACTCGGGCATACTTTCTTGGCTTATCGAATGAGGGTATATACTGGCGCTTGTCTCAAATCCCCGAAGGAAGTCAAGGACTAGCGGGACAATGTCATTATTATACGGATATGGGGTACTAGTGTTCATCAGAGATACGATACTAAGCATACGCACGGAAGTCTTCCTGGACGTACTGTGCGATACAAGTAGTAGACGGTGTACCAGAAAATATCCATCGGAACTTATGTTTGTACAGCATTTGAACATTAACTCAGCGTAACTCTAGATATGCGGCGATGGGAAGAACGGGTTATCGAGGTGTTAATTACTTCTTATGCGGAGATGCAGCTACTTAAGATCAAAAACCTTCAGCGGCCTCAACAGCGGTGTACCAGGCCTTCAGCATCCCCATTCGCGCACGCCCTTTTCGTGCATCGTTTTGATACACTAAATTTCCAGTTACTAGATAAACGTGTGAAACACATCAACAGTACCATGGCGAACGCGCTATGTACGAAGTGAGTGGGTGTAGCGGTTTTATTTGCCCTCAACCAGCCAGGTGAGAGGAACGTAGAAGGAGAAAATTAGTGGGAACAGTGGCGATTGAAACGGAACTGCACGAGAAACTGATCTCTTAACAATGGTAATAGCATAAGGCAGTGAGAATCGCACCTGGTCAGCGCACATCTGCTGACGCCATAAAGGATGCCAGTGTCAGTGAGTGTGCAGATAAGCAGGACGAAATCTTACAGATTGGACAATATAGCAGGTATCTGCTAGAGTACCAGTAGTGAGCTTCCACGTACCTCCTGAAGCCCGTACAATTCCGAGTCGGAGGCTTGAAAAATATGTTGTGGAGTGGGGTCTAGTGAGGCCGTGATGGTACGGTCAGCCTGGGCATGGGCCTGTGGAGCGAAGCAGTACTGTACCAAGTCCACTTCATAGATGTCAGTTCTGAATCAGAGAATAGTGATGTAGTAGATGGTCTGCGTACAGCAAGATGCGCGTAAAACTCCTGCCAATACTTAGGGAATGTGAAGCCACTACCTTTTCGCCACACGACGAAGCTGTTCATCGCCTGCCCCCAGCTCCATTTCCCTGACCACATTGGGAGACACTTAAACGAATGTCATCGCTATTATGAGACCTTTAACACAATTGTTGGCCTGGGTCCTTCAGATGCCCGCCCGAGCCCTCCACAACTTTTCTGAAAACGTCCGGTCAGGACGGGATAATTTCAGGTCAGCAATCTCCCAGTCCGCCTGGAAGCATTGGAGTACTGGAAGTCGTCTGCAGATGCTGGCCATTGTGCCCGGTGATCTTCCAGTACTTCCAGCATGTCCAGACTCGTTCATATCAGTCCTTGTCATCCACCTGTGACAAAGCGCGCATAGGCTGAGAATCTCCGGTCCGGATTCTAGGTATCCCCACGGTTCAACGTTAGGCCTCAGGCTTCAGCTCGTGTCAGGTTCGAGCTCCCTACGGATGCGACACGAGCGTATAAGCACAGCTTACAGTGTTGATAACGGGGCCGGAACGTCCGGAACCGAGGGTGCATCAAAACCTCACCAGGAGGGGAAAAGCTACCGTACAATGCAATTTAAAGCAAACGCCTCCTAGTCTGTCGCAATCAACTTGTGCGACGTTGGAATGATAACAACCTTGTTGCAGTATGTCCGTGACAAACCCAGTCGCATACTACAGGGAATCGTTGCAACTCTCTGCCAAAAGACGGACAAGCCTCTCTGGCTCGTCCCATTGAACCTACACAAGGATCAGCAAGCAAACCTTGTGACGAGAGCTCGACTGAGCAAAGAGGGCTTACCAAGTGATTTGCTCCCTTCAGCCTCAGGAAAGTAGCCTTTCGCTTCTTCTTACCCTGATCGGCTGCCTCTCCGATCAGTTCCTCAGCCACTTTAGCTCCCCACATCGACGCCCACGGAGCCTGCGCGGCAGCAAGATAGAGGATGTTGACGTCGGGCAGGACTGCACCTGCATCAGAGAATGCACAGTGTGCATACTTATGGTGGATTTTTTCGTCCGTGGCTACTATCAGGCCGGTCAGGCGTACACAATCCCCAAGTTCAATGACACGCTGATAGTCTTCCGGAGACAGTGTACGAAGCGTCGGTGTGCGTGGAAGGACGGTGTAGTATTCGTGCAGCGATTCAGCAGTGATGGGGACACCGTCTGGCGGTGAGGTGTGATACGCAGACACCCAATCAATGAACACATCTGACTTCCGTTCATTTGGGATTGTGGGATCACCGAAGGGTGTGCCACGGCCTATGTCGGGAAATACACCAAATGTAGCTGATGGTGAGTCTGTGGAAAAGGGGCTGAGTGTTCGGCCACATGTGCGTAAGATCTTTAGTGCGCACCAAGAAAGACGACTGTGCGCAGATAAGGAGCAAGCGTAGCCGTCAGGTCACTTCCCATCGTCCGAGGATCTCCTAGAATGGATACGGCCACGGTGCCATACATAGACCACGCCACCAGTACCAGCCCGCCCTCTTTCTTGGCTCCCTCGCCTGTGGCGACAGGGATGCGCAATGTCTGACAGACGTATGCAAGGAACTGGGCGGTCTCTTGTCCTAGTCTGCGCACCCCATGCGCTTGAACTTCAACGTCGGGGCTGGCCAGGTGTGCCAGTTCTTCTTCCGTGTATGGCGTAGATCCATGGTAGCCCCGGTTGTTCATGGTGATTATGCGCAGGCCGTACTTGGAGGCATACGGTAGCATGCGCTCGAATATAGCTAGAAATGTCTTCTTTCAGAAACCTCTCGTTGAACTGGACTAATGGACATGCCTGAATTGATAAGTGCACCATGCGTGATAACGATAGTGGGGTATGTCACGGAGCCGTGTGGCACACCAGTGTCCTCATAGTAAATGCAGGTTCCGTTGTCGTCGATCTGTGCGCGAGGCATACTCGGTGAGATGTGGAGGGGCCGGGGGGCTTGGTGCTTTCCTTCGTCTCCTCAAATACGACACTGAGCTGCCTGCGACCTTCCAAAATGGGAAGCAAACTCAGCGATTGTCTCAGTCTGATATCAGCCTGATTTCATGTACTGCGAGGACGTGTCGCCGCCGATAAGCTACCTTTAATCCCGGGATACCAGACCGATCCGGCGCTTCTCAGGTGCTTCCAGCGTCCGGCTACGCCCCTAAGACGCCAGACCGCGCTGACAACAGTACATCCACCACTCCATCGCCAATTTCTCAGGGCATCTGGGTGTGTCTGGCGGTGTCTGTGGTGTCTGTGCCAGACACGTCCAGTACGTCAGCATCCAGAGAAACCTCTGGAATATGGTATGTGCCTTTGGAACCAGTAGCAACCAGATGAGCCGTCCGGGCTTCAGAAAGTCGCGCCAGCACACAGCAGTCCGTGACCACACTGATTTTATATATTCCTTTTCTGTTGGCTTTCTGTACACTTGCAGACACACGTGCGTATTGGCCGGGGCATATATTACTTACTATCCTTGAACCCCTTTTGATAATGGTTTCATGTATTCTGTCCGTCCCTGAGGCCTGAGGCCTAATGACGCTTACTGTAAGGTTGCGCTCACACGCTCGTGTCGCATCCACAGGGAGCTCGAACCTGACACAAGCTGAGGCCTGGTCTGAGACCTGAGACCTGAGATCTGAGACCTGATGGCCTGCACGAGAGAAATTTGGAACTTTTTTGTCACAGAAAATATGCAAAAACAGCTTGAAAAAATAAGTAAGGAAAGGTCGTAATGTTTTCTCTCGGTATCCGGCAGCCCGGCAACTTGG